AATAATAATAATAATAATAATAATAATAATAATAATAGAATGATATTTGTTATCATTTTTATGAGCAGACATTGAAGTTCCACTGAAGATACTCAAAAGCCACTACAAAGCTTCACAGCTTTGAAACTATGTTAAATTATGCCCACAATTTGCAAGATGCAGCTCTAGTTTTTACTTGTAGCGCAATTATGTCTGTAGTGTTTCTATTTCTGTCAAATAATCAAATCCTTCCCAGGAAATCTTTTGACTAACAAAAGTTATCTTTGTATTTATTTCTCATTTTAAGAACAATAGTAAATCTATCTTTAGTTAAACTTTGCAGGTTGATGACCAAAACAAAGACTTGACTATATTCAGTTAGTAGTGTGCAAATGTTTTAAAACACTTCATTTAGAGTTCAAGACAAGGTTTTGAGTTCAAAACAACTGATTTTGCATTGAAACAATCCCTTTAGAAGTGTTGAATGGGTGAGTTCTAATTGTATGATAGCTGTGATAGGTCAATTCCAATTGTGTGGTTCTATAATTACTGGATATTGTTTACTCACACAATAAAAATTGCATGTTTTGAAAGATCTGCCACCAAAAGGAAAGCAATTGGTGCTTATTTTCAGCAGGAGTGGAGAAAGTAAAGAAAAAGGAAACCTACCAATCAGAAGCCATAGTAACCACTATGTGAATCAGTGACAGTATTATTGCCAAAACATCAACTCCTGATAGCTTTTTCTTAAGCTGGATTCATTTTCTGTCAGCATTGGAAAAGGAGACAAGCTGTTTAAAGCCATTGTGCAGAAAATTGTCCTAAATACTGTAGAAGTATTCTATTTAGGTAGTAATCTTTGCACATTTTTCTATTACTATTGGAATAGTATATAATGGCAGGAAAGGGAACTTCCATCATGGAACCCTGTTAATAGAGAGAAAATTACTATTGTTTGATAACTGTCAGTATCAGATAGGATGACCTTATGTGAAACATTCCATGATGGGTTCCCTTTAGAAGTAACCTGATTTTGGCCCTTTAGTAACATTAAACTGTAGCAGAGATCCCTAAAATGTTCCGCTCATTGACTCCTTTATGAATTTTTGGATTCTTCATTAGCGCCAAACATTGATTATATAAAATTAGTTCAATAAATAATATTTTAACTACTACTATTAACAATACTAATAATAATCACAATCCTGGGAGTCAATATTGTCCACTTTGGAGACCCCTGTGATGTTATATGTCAGTGATGCGAACCTATGACATGCATGCCACAGGTGGCACGCAGAGCTTCTATGTGGGCATGCAAGCCATCAACCAGTTCAGCTCCAATGGACATGCACATGCACCTCCCGCTGGCCAGCTGATTTTCGGTCTCTGTGGGAGACATGCATGGGGGGAGGGGGGTCATGTGCGCATGTGTGGAAGACTGGGAGGTCGCGCACACATTCACAGGTGAAGGGTGCGGGGGGCGTGCGCACATGCATGGGGGAGCATGGGGGTTTGCATGCACAGAGGTGCAGGATGCACAGGGTGTGTTATGCACACATTGCATTATGGGTGTGGGCACGTGCATGTGCGCTGTCGTGTGTACATACATACTTTCCGCACATGTGGATAAAAAGGTTAGCCATCACTGGTATATGGGAATGATCTTGAGGGATGAGTGGAAGAGATTCTGCCTAGAAACAATCATACATGAGAGGGAGGAGCTTGCAAGAGCTTATCAGTCAGAGAAAGAAATTTAGGAAGGACCCGCTCTAATTTATCAGGCTGTTAAAAGTAATGGAAGGAGGTTTGTATTTTCAGACTTACAAGATTCTGTAATGCAGCCTTAGAATAAAATAGAATTGGCTCATCTGGTCATATTTCCTGTCTGTTTATCTCTGAGGCCTGACATCTATCTTGCAATTTGAAAGTACTAATCTCCTTGAAGAATGGAGAAGGGGGAAAAAGATTACTCAGATGAAAATAGCTACTATCCTGGTGACAATAACTCAAGCTTTTGTAACCTCTGAAAAAGACTTTGCAAAGTGCTAAACACAGGAGTGTATCTCAAAGCTATAGTTGGTTTAAATGAAGGAACCCAGGTTTTGGGTGAGAGAGCGATTAAAATGTATCCATGCAGTCTGAACTTCCCAGGCAGGGAGGTTGGAAGTTTCCCCTATGGAGTTCAGTGGGATCGAAGGGCCAGTGCTTTTCTATTATAGTATTAACCTCTATGATTTCATCCAGGTATATTTGGTGGCCTATTTCCTGAGAGTTAGGCAGTAATGAAGGCCAAATTGCTTCACAGAACTTTCATTTATTTATGTTGCTGGAGGAAGGACACAAAGCAAGATGTTACACTATTGTGGATTTTAATTGCTGTAATTATTGTAATTACTGTTGTTTTGGGTGATTTTAATCTATATTGTAAAACCTTTGGAAGAGTTATAGGAGTATGGTGATCTATTAATTAATGTCTCCCCTCTTCCCATTTAGATTAAGGCAATACAACACAGGAACAACAAAACGCCTGTAAATTTACCCACATGGAAAAGGAATTCTCTGCAGGAACATACAAAGGTGAGAAAGAGCTTTACCTGCTCTTGCAACGTGGACTGAATAAATATCATTAGAAATGTGCAAAACAGACTTGCTGGACTCTGCAAAGATTAGGTTTTTTCCCACGAGTGTTTCAGATATTGCTTCATGCATTTCTAGCAGTGTGTTGACTGGAACAGCAAGTTGATTGTGGTCCTCCAGATACAGTCGGGCATATCTTACTCATTTCAGCTGAATGTGTTTGAGGATGTTTTTGAGCAAAGTGGAAAATTACCCAATAGCCTTTGGCAATTAATGCTACTGTGGGTTTAATAATCATTTCCTGGAGTCTTGTAAAGTGGTTTATGGTTGGTTGCTGAGTTTATTATGGCAAATATTGAAAAAAAATATCTTTCTTTGGATTAGTGATACTTAAAATACAGAAAACAGCAATGCCTGAAAATTAACAACAGAAAAGAATCCTGAAGAACTTTTTAGTTAAATTCTGTTTTATTCATATTTGCTCTCTATATTTACAGTAATTATGTGCTGATGAAACTGTTTCTAAGATATTACTTCCAGCCATGTATCATTTGAGACACAAATATTAAATATGGATTTTAGAATGTAAATCTTCCCTTGATATTGAAGATATATTTTCATATACTTTCAAATTTTATATATGTGTGGCTTTACTCTCAGATTATTTTTATTTTCTGTTCTGTGCTATGTTTTTTTTTACATTTAGATTTTATAGAATTTATTTAAATAATTTATATGGCAGCCCAACTCACAAAATAGTGACTCCAGGTAGCATGCAACAATAAAAACAGAATAAAACAAAATCAATAAGAATAACAAGAATAAAAACAATACAACAATACCACATGCTCCATCCATTATACCTTACAGATCAAGCTTTTCTAATAACTTAGTCGTAAAATCTGAAGGGACAGCCAGGTCTTAAAGTCTTCCCAAAGTCTAAGAGGGTTGTGGCCGGTCAAGTCAATTTTGTTGAGTATTGTTTTCTTAAGTAAGCATTAAGTATTTTAAAAATGTAAAAGATTTGCAACATACACTGAAACGGTGCCTGTAATAATTTGCTGGAAGCACATATGCTTCACTTAATGTAGTCTCTATTAGTTAATGGTAAAGAACAAGTGTAGTTATTTTTAAGGAGATAATGCACAATTAATTCATGTTCTTGGAATTTCATTTATAAATACTACATATTTAGTCATTTTCCTAGTTAATTATTAATTTTTTTAGAAAACTATTTTTTGTCTGGATGTTGCAGGTTGCCTAATTCCCTTCTGTACAATACTATGACACTATTTTATCTGGATTGAATTTATTGGGTGGGTTTCCAAGGGGCTTCTCTATGTCCTATTTTGTAACATCCCAGTTTTCTGAAAGATGAGTTTGGTTGAAACGTTTTCTCTATTAGGTTATTTTATAAAATCCTAACTCAATGTAGGAGAAGGAATGCTAGAACCTGGGGCAGAGTCAAAAGAGGAATCGGCTTAGAGTTTCTACATAGCCACAGACAGACTCCTCTTGAATTTCAGTGACCTTATCTAGTGCCTGAATAGTGCTGCTAGTTAAGTAGATTCTTGTACATACAAATGATTAATAATAAATCACTTTAATTGGAACTTCATGTATGATCCTGATCTTTTACTCCTGATACTCTAACCGTGACATGTTTATTGTTAAAGTTTTTCCAGCCTTTTTTTAAAAAACAAAAACTAATCTGTGAATCGTTTCCAACTTGAAAAATAGCATAACTATTGCAAAATGTATTTCTTGTTCCTTGCACAATCTGAAAACACCTTCCTTTATTTCAAGGCAAAACCCTACAAACAATTTCTGAGCACGCACTTCCTAATTTTTTTTTTAATATCCAGGAATATAGCTCGTAGTACATATTCTGTAGCAGGTAAATTGCCAAGTGAAAATTAATTTTTTTTGGGGGGGGGGAACTAGAGATGAACAATTTCATTAGCAGAATGTTTAAAAATATTTTTATTTACTTGCTGAGAAGTTAGTAATTCCTTATGGCAGCGCTCTCCAAACTTGGCCACTTTAAGCCTTGTGAACTTCAGCTGCAGAATTCTGGGATTGACGTCCAGAAGGCTTAAATTTGCCAAGTTCGAGACCCCTGGCTTAAGGTATTGCTCATTTCTCACTCCGCTTTTACATAGACTTTCACAACATGTTTACTCCTAAGCTTGCTTAATAAAACATAGTTGATAGGTGTTCATGACAGGCAGTGTAAAATTAATTGCAGTACAATTTAACATGAAGGCCTTACACCACACAACATATTAGCAGTTGGTTTCCCATAATATACAGAATCATAAAGTTGGAAAGAATCGCTAGGAACTGTATTTCAATAGTGCCATAGAAATGCCCAAACGCAATTCCCACTTCCTTAGTGATTATTTGATGAAATGCATTACCTTTTTGATGCATATATTATATAAATCCACCAGGCTGAGGAATGTATTTCCTTTTAATACTCATCCCCATGATTCAGAACACATCTGAGGAACAGAAAAAAAATGTGTACAGCTAAGTTTCCCTATTGCAACAAAATTTTGCTCATGATTTTACTAGCGTAGCAAAAATCAGTAGACTTTTTTTCTGTTTATTTAGGTGCTGACTTAAGTGCATAAAACTAGTCTTGTAGGAATTCAAATAGTGATCCAACCAAAACTTCATTAACTTCTGTTTAAAAAAAAAAAAAAGTTCTGGCAACAATAATTCATGCTTAGAGTTACAAAAAATCTTGTTGTGATTTGTTTCATTAGGGGCAATCTTTAAAGGCAGTTTGGAAATTACAGCTGGTCCAAAATGCAGCTGTCTACTGATGGGTAATGATATAGAGTAATCTTGAGGGAGCTGTACTGGCAAAGTTAGGGTTCTGGGACAATTCAAGGTGTCAGTTGTCACTTGCAAATCCCTTTATGGCTTGAGTGTTTGTTACCTTCAGGACCATCTGGTTAGTAAATTCCTTTGTCCATTCATGCAAACCAAGAGAGCAAGGTGAGAATCTCCCTCCCATTAGTTGAGCTGGAGAGAATCAGGAAGGAGGCCTTTATGGTGATAGCTTCTTGACTGTGCAAGAGTCTCCCTCCCCCTCTTTCCCCAAGCTGAAAATGTCTCTCTTTTCTTGTCCTTTTTCTTTTGGAAAGCACTTGACTGCATCTCCAACAAGCATTTAAAGTAGATAGCACAACCATTTGGAATGCAGGTGACTCGGGAACTAATTAGTGAAGGGGGGAGTTGCCACATACAATACAATAGCAGAGTTGGAAGGGACCTTGGAGGTCTTCTAGTCCAACCCCCTGCCTTAGGCAGGAAACCCTACACCGTTCCAGACAAATGGCTATCCAACATCTTCTTAAAGACTTCCAGTGTTGGGGCATTCACAACTTCTGGAGGCAAGCTGTTCCACTGATTAATTGTTCTNCAAGAGATCACATGACCCCAGGACAGTGCAACCTTCAGAAATACAAACCAGTTGTCAAGCATCTGAATGTAAATCACATGACCATGGATATGTTGCAGTGGTCATAAGTGTGAAAAATGGTCCTAAGTCACTTTTTCCAGTGTCATAATAACTTTGAACGGTCACTAAGCAAACTGTTGTAAGCCGAGGACTACTTGTATTGTGCTCAATATAAGGCTAGACAGACAAATAGTTTAATCTATATGATACAGCTTTCTGTGTTCAAATCAATGGTGAAATTGAATTTTTTTTACTACCTGTTCTGTGGGCATGGCATGGTGGGCGTGGCAGGGGAAAGACATTGCAAAATCTCCATTCCCACCCCACTCTGGAGCCAGCCAGAGGTGGTATTTTCTGGTTTTCCGAACTACTAAAATTTCTGCTACCGGTTCTCCAGAAGCTGCTCAATTTCACCTCTGGTTCAATCAATAAAAACTATAGTATTGTGTTCCAGAAGTTGTAATCAGTTGATATGAATTGAAGTTCAGCTTGGATTTTTCTCCCTAAAAATAAATGGATGAACAAATACTCTGATTGAGAATTTTTAAGGGAAATCTTATTTTCTATTCAGGCTTGTGATTTGTATATTACTGTAATATCTTTTCCTAGATCTACAAATGTTTTATCTTAAATTATCATATACTTCATTAATCTGTGTACATTATTCATAATTGGATTCAATAAAAAATAAACTGCTGCATAACTTGTTGAATAATAAGCAACTGTAAAAACATTATGCTGTTAACAATGTGTTCCAAATTTTAAATGTCTTCATAGAATTTTGGATACTGGGTGGCTGAGATGCAAACTAAATTAGAATGTGGAATTATTTTCTGTTGGCTTAGAGCATTTCCACACTGCAATATTTTTCACTTGCCCAAGTCCTCAGAAGAAGTTTGGAAATATTTCTTTATAGTCTTCCAATTTCTGAAATGCTAGGGACAACTTCCTGGAGAAAAATATCTTTCCATACTCAAAGAGAGAAGGCTGGAGTGATAAATTTTCTGGTGCATTGCACTAAGATTATTGTTGTGAATTTAATCTTTCTCCTTTGAGCTGAGGAATTGATGAAGAGCTTCAACTCTGTTAAGTTACACGCCCCTTTCAAGACCTGAAGACCAGTTTCCTTCAGTGGGGAAAATCCTCAGTCACAGAAACAGATACACACAGAAATCCTTTTAAATCAAAGCACTTCCAATAACAATTCCTCTTGAACTAGAAAAAAATCAGTTCAACTATTCTGATGCTGCTGACATCAAATAGAAGGAATATCTGTAGCTCTGGATTAAACTGTGAAATTGTCTAAGCTTGGTTGTTTATTTGCAGTTGTTTCCTTATTGAATTAGGCAACATCAATGAATTAATGTACTGACAAGCACAGCACTTGTACCAGTGGTGGGATTCAAAACATTTTTACTACCAGCTCTGTGAGCATGTCTTGATGGGCGTGGTGTGGCTTGGTGGGCATGGCAGGAGAAGGATACTGCAAAATTCCCATTTCCTCCCGATCAGCTGGGACTCGGGAGGC